TTCGGAGCCTGGGGAGGGCAAAAAACAGGCCCAGTGGGCCAACCATAAGTTCCCCAAGCTTTGGAGCCTGGAGAGGACAAAAATGGCCTCCCCTGGCCTTCCAGAAGACCAAAAATCAGCTGGCTGGAGCGCACATGCACACTGGAGCTCAGTGCTGCCGTGCCGGCAAATATAGCTGTGGCACGCCTGCCATAGGTTCGCCATCACAGTAATATGGTATCACTGAGTCACAATTCCCCTGCCTTTGCTCCACTAGATGGTTGCTGTTTTCGAGAAGGCTGCCCTTCCTAAGTGGAACTAGACAGTGCAAGTATGATTATGTTCCAATGGGAATGTAAAAAAGCACAGGATGACCAGAGGTTACAGCCTGTGTACTTCTGCATACACTCACAAAGAAGGGAGAAATACAGGGCAGTAATATCTCCCATCCAGTGGTGAAATTCAATTTTGTTTTACTACCGGTTCTTTGGCGTGACTTGGTTGGCATGGCAGGGGAAGGATACTGCAAAATCCCCATTCCCACCCCACTCTGGGGCCAGCCAGAGGTAGTATTTTCCGGTTCTCCGAACTACTCAAAATTTCCACTACCGGTTCTCCAGAACCTGTCACAACCTGCTGGATTTCACCCCTGCTCCCATCTTGATTTTGCCTTTTCCCCTTTGATCAATGTCTATCATAACTGACATCAGTAGGATAAAATGTATTTTAGTTGTATAATGCAACTCAACTATTTCTCTAAATTCTTTCTTGTTCTCATTTGGTACATATGAAATATTGTGTTTCGCCAGTCTAGTCAGGAGTTTGGTGAAATATGTAGGATTTAAATAGTAAAGGAGAACCTATATTCCTCATTGCCATCCACAAGCACAATCTTCTTTAAGCAACCATCCAGTCCCTAAGATTTGCAAGGACTTCTGGGAAGCTCTGAAAAAGACTCTTTGTTCTTGGAGGAATCAAGAGTCATTTTTTATTATCTTCTGTTCTATAGAGCAGTGGTCTCCAACCTTGGCAACTTTAAGACCTGTGGACTTCAACTTCCAGAGTTCCTCAGCCAGTCTTAAAGTTGCCAAGGTTGGAGACCACTGCTATAGAGCAACAACAGCTTTTCAATGCTGATCCAGAATCATGACCATGCTTGGAAAATTTTTGGAGTTTCCACTCAAACGTGGAGAGCTCCAAGTGTTTCACAATCATTACTGCCAGAGAATTTGAGTTAGAGAGGCTCATGGACACAAACCAATTGTGGAAACATGCTTTGATAGTAATGATAATAAAGAAGGAAAGAAAACTGAGATAAAGAAAATGCAAAGTAATGTAACAAGCACTATAATCCAGTAGCACAGAACGTTGATTGAACAGATCTCAGTATATTAAATTTGCCTGTAACAAACCAAATCTCTGTGGTGACTTAAATTTGTCATACAAATTTGTCACATATTTGTTGCACAAATAATATCAGTTGCCTCAATGTATACCATTTGTTTCATGATTTCATAAGGCAAATTAAGTAAATTGTTGTGATAATATAGAGGAGATTCTTGACTTATGATCAGTTGCTTAGCGACTATTCAAAATTACAACAGACCTACTTACAACCTGGCTTCTACGTTCTCATGGCCTGCACATGTGGTCATGTGATTATATTTCGAGCACTCAACAACAGACTGCATTTATGAATATTTTCATGTGACTAAAATTTATTTATTTATTTTTTTGCTGTAAATAAATGTTTACTTCCCATTTCCAAATATACACCACTGGGGATAAGGGATTTGCTTTACGACCACTGCATTCACTTAATAACCATGTTTATGTTTGTGACTATTTCCAAAAAATTTGTAAAATCAGATAAGGTCATGTGACATGATTTATAACCGTAATTCCAGGCTCATAAATTGAAGACACCATGCACTGGCATATTTAATGTAGTGTTGTGAACAACAGACAGTACCTGCCTCATTTGTTCAATTACGGTAATACATGTTTTGCTATACATAATACATAATACAAAACACACACCAAATATGTCCTGATCCAGCAATCTTTTTAATTGTCTACTAAAATGCTATTCATAATTTTCCATATGAATCTATATATTATAAAACTCTTATGTCTGGGTCTTTTAATGAGGCAAAACAGTGCCTCATAGAACGACTTTTGAACCAAGTTACCTCAAAAGGCTAACTTGCAGAATGCGTCCAAAGTCCAGGATTCCTGTGGGCCTGAAATTAATGGTCCTTTCAGTACTGCCACACCACTGCCCAGAGGTTTAGTAGACTGGTCCTGCTCTAGCCCTCTGGAAGCTGGGTAGACTGGCCTTGCCTTTGACCCCTGGAGATCAGGTAGACTAGTACCACTCTAGCCCTCCATAGGCTGTGTAGAACAGTCTCATCATCAGCTGCCAGAGGGCAGTCAGCCACAAAGAAGATAGGAGGCAACTAAAAGGCACTCTTACTCCTAATGCTTTTTCGTCCTTGATCATTCTTTTTAGGTAAGGCAATATCTCTGAAACAATGACCCAATGGGTTGTCTAGTATATGTTAAAATGTACCTTACACAGATCAATTTCCCATTTTTAAATTCACAGCCATGCATTTGGAATCTTTAAGTGGAGTTTACTTGTTCCTTGGAATGCAAATATTTAACACTGAACATCCCCACTGGCATTCATCTTTATTAGTGTTTGACTTTCATGTACAATATTATGTGCTAGATTTAGCTCAGCTTTCTTCCAAGAACTCAAGTTAGCCTATATGAGGATCGCCCTTGATCCTCACAATGGCAACCATATGAGGTAGACTGACAAAGAGCAGAGAGACTAGCCTAACATCAACCTGTAGCTGAGATTGGTCTTGATTGTTGGACTCCCTGGTCCTAATCTAGCTCTTTTAACCACTATATTACACTGTCTTGCTTCTAAGTATGAGTGAGTTTCAGCTGGTGGGAACAACTGTATACCATCATTCCGTTGACCAGTTGTTCTGAGAAGCATGAAGATATATTCTATACATCTGTCTCAGAAGCACTGCGTGCAGTGTTACAAGAATGCTGAAGCTGTCTTTGATGTCTGTTATGTACACTTTTGAATGGAGATGTTGCTTTGTTAAATGTTTATTTCTTTATACCAGTTTATCTTACTTTCCACCGAGGCACCTGGGCCTATGCATTCACACATGATAAACCTCCTCCTCCTCCTCATCTTCCATGGCATGATTGGTATATCCCTGCTTGTGGACAAGCGTATTCTGCCGTAAGATGTTCCAGTGACTATTAGTGTTTGCTGCATTTGAAGGAGCACCAACGCACTTTTGCTCTTTTGTCAAAATTGGTCGACCATCTTTTCCATCAGCTGCTACATCTTCTCTGTGTTTCCTCTGCAGGTATTTCTCAAAGGCATCTCTCCGGTAAGGCCCATTTGTTTTAACAGGCATCTGCCTTATTTCACAATGATCTTCAACCCTGCATGCAAAAGAGTAGTGAAGAACATGTTACAACTGATTTGTGCATACCCATCTATATTATTCAAGCTTCTCCAGGGATGTTGAATCAAGGTCTTTGGAAGAGAGCTTGGAACAATATTGCATTTATATTAGCATAATTCCTACCAGGCCAGGAGCCAGAAATGGTTAAAGATCAGAGGCTGCTAAAAATACAGTGGGAAAGAAGACAATGATTTATTAGTACAAAATGAAAAGATCCTAAATACAAATCCTTTAATATGCTTGTAATTATTCTCTTTATTAATACTAGGAAATGTCTTTATATGCTTTAAAAATGAGCTACTTTTAAGGAGGTTTTGGCTGCCTACTAAAATTCATGGTCTTTGCCTTTAGGAAAATGTAATACATTTCTCGTATATTTAATTAACCTGTTTATAAAAACTCCTGCCAAAGGAAAATCGATGTGAATTATTCCATCGCTTCTTTACCCTTTTCCAAATAGCCTTGAGAATCATAGTTTTGTTACAACTTTGGTATCTCTTCGTATATAAGGGTAAATTGAAAGAAGAATCCAATTTATCAGTCACTAATTAATTATATATTTTTTAGCTTAAATTGCTTTCTACATCCTTTTCTGAAAGTTCTGATTATCCAGATTTCTGGAGGATGTGACTACAGGCCTGCCAACCCTAAGAGATTGCCTATATTTGCCATCTTTTCCTTACAAGAAGAAACCGTCTAGTTTCTGGGGAAAATATTTGTAGTTCGATCTTGATATTCATTAATTTAGCTCTGGAAACCTCAATATTTTTGAAGAATAATGATATTATAGTCTGTTCAATTACATTTCCTTGGGTAGAATTAATTATGGACCAGGTATTCACCAGGAAAAAAACAAGGGGTCTTCCAGTACTGAAGATGATATACCCTTGTTGATGTTGATTTTTAGAACCTCATTTGAACTCTCAAAGTACATAAGTTTGTAGAGAAAAAAGTGAAGTAAGGATGCCTAATTAGATTTTCTTGAGATGTATAGCTTGAAACTAACTGGATGTTCACTGTATTTATAGTCAAAATATCTTATCCCAACTTGCTTCTTCTATATCTTTATTTCACTTATTTTTATTTAAAGGTAATTTCATTTGTATCATTTAAAAATGGTAAAAATGGACTGACAGCTGGAGAAAAAAGACATGGGACTTTGTTTTTTCTTACATCTGGTAACTGCAGTGAGATTATTATATGTTCAAAAGTGGAAAGATTTAGTATTACCCTTAATGGAGGAAAGGCTGGGGAAGATGATGGAACTTGGAGAGATGGCTAAATTGACTTCTTTGATTAGAGAAAAGACAATATCTATGTTTATTGCTGACTGGAAACCCCTTAGAGATTTTTTGCAAGAAACAAAAAAATGAATTTATAATTTATGGCTTTGTTGATTAGAAAAAATAGACAATAAAAATATTTTTTTTATTTCTTGCTAAGCAAATGGATTTTTAAAAATCCTGCCTTCAGAATTCTCCTTGTATTTTTGTAAGGAAAAAAACATTGGGAAGGTGAAACTTATTTTTTTGAATGAGAGCTGAACATGCACTAAAATCCAAACTAAGCATTCAGTTTGCAGGGGAAGAAAAGAACTGCAGTGCTCTATCTTTTCTATTCTCCCATTCGTTAATTTTTAATAAAATTATATATAGGATGTGATTTGGGCCCAAATTGGACTGAATCAGAGAACAGAACACATGAGTTTATGAAGGGCATGCATCCCAATTAAGGCATCAGTGTAATAGCTGTTTCTATTCCTGATAATGGGCTGAATTTAAGCAATGAAACAGAAAATAGCAGCTTTCCCCACCCTAAACCCCTTACTACAGAATAGGCAATCTGCAATGCCTGATTTGTCTTCCCATGACTTGGAAAATTGTCTAACCCCATAAAATGGACCTGTAGGATTCATTCGTACCATATTCCTGCAAGCTAACCAGGCAGGTATTAAATATGCATATGATCATGATCACTAAACTTCATTGCAAATTAGCAAAAACACAATACAGGTACAATTGTACCATTCGGTAAAGCTCATATTCCCACAAGCAGCTACTAACCCCCTTGGCAGGCAGTCATCTGTGGAAGATTATGACAAGGTGGCGACTGCAAGGAATTGGCTGTCAATAAGAACAAATGTGATATGCATCATACCAACAAGATCCTAAAGACACATTCCCTGAATCTTGCCACACAATGAAACACATTGTGATATACTTGACATTCTCAGATGCCCTAAAACTACCTTCAGTTTAAAAACAGAGTTTCTTTGTATAAATGTCAAGAAGTGCCTGACATTTTTGGACCTTTTTTACACTTATGTTATTTTAGTGCTCCATTACCAATCTGTGAGTTTGCATTCTTTATGGTCCTTTGCCCATTGAGCTGCTTCATCCTCTTAGCTAGGCAACTCACAGATGTGGTAGATGATTTCCCAATCAATCAATCAATATTCAATGACCAGGAAAATTTTAAAGAACAAAAACAGAATGAAGCAGATAAATATAATAATATACTAACAACTAGCAAAATAAATCACATACTATAAAATTCACTCCTCCATTACTGTGTTCTCAATATTACTTTCATGTGGGGGGATTTTGGACACTTGACAATCAAATCCCAGGGGATTACAACAGGCAGCTTTATGTATGAGCCTGAATACCTGGAGATCTAATTGGATCAAGGGAAGTGAAAACACAGAAAATGCTCAGTAAATATTTTGGCAAAGTGAATTTGCAAGTGAATATTTGGTATTGTTTCTTCTGTTTTCTGAAAAAAATACTGTACTGAAATAAACAACATGTAATAATCCAATTCTCTTCTCCTTTCAAGATATTTTAAATGTACTTTGGTATTTGAAAACTATAGCCTATAGCTGCATAATACAAGATTGCAGGCTTCTGTCTATTTTTTTCTAGTTTGATTTTGTGCCTTTCAGTAAGTAACTCTTGAAAACTATTTGGACGAGTCCCTACTGTTTTCTTGGCAAGATTTCAGAAGTGATTTGCCATTGCCTATTTCTTAGGTGGGGGGAAGAGGGAGGGAGGGAGAGAGAGGGAGGAAGGGATGGGGAGAGAGAGAGAAAGAGAGAGAGAGGCTTGATACAGGAGGTCTCTGGAAATTCACACACTTGCATCAACAGGCGAGGGGTAGCAGTAGGAAGATAATGTCTGTAGCAATCAGAATGCTACAGCCACATTTCTACAATCAATGAAATCTTAGGGTCAAAGAAAGAGAGTAGCATATAGTCAACTGAAAATGTTTCTGCAAAATTTATATATCATGTATTTCCTAGATTCTGTTTTTGTTGTTGCCAAAGTCCACTTTCTGGTTATGGGGTCTGTTTTGTTGGTGCCTGTTTTGATTTTTACCTCACTTTTGCAGATATTTAGAAGACTCTTAGCTGGCTGTAAAGGGGAAAAAAATCCTTATTTTACAAGGAATTCTTCAAATCACACTGCATTCGAAACAAGCATGGCACTTGTGAAGCCTGGAGAGATGAATACAGTCTTTTTCATTGTTTCCTAACCTTCCCACTCCCCATTTTACAGCATAATTCAACATGCAGAAGAGACACATGTAATCCTTTCATAGCAAAGGTGTTTGTTTCAATGCAGATTTAACTGTCAAGATGTCTCTTTCACACTGCACCTTCATATGCCTCTCCTTTATACCCTGCCGTTAGTTAATTAGGTTTATGTGTCGTGTTTCTTTCCAGGAGCTGAACATGGTATATGGGATTGGATGTCTCTGTTTTTAAATCTACAACTCTGTAAAGCAGGTTGTCTTGAGGGGAGGTATGTTGCTACTCTGAGTGTGTAAGACCAAGGCAGGTATTAAATCTGGTTCTGCAGTGCTAATGCAGCATCTTCACCGTAACACCACACTAGATGTGGAAAAGTGCAAGAGGAAAAATATAATTGAAGCATTTACAAGACAAGGAAATAAAAAAATCACCCTGGCTATAGCATATTTATGGTGATGGTCAGCAGTGATGCAGGGAGGCAAACTGAATTAGTTGGTTTTACTAGAGCAGTCTTTCTCTACCTTGGTATTTAAAGATGCATGGACTTCAACTCCCAGAATTCCCCAGCCAGCAATTCTGGAAGTTGAAGTCCACACATTTTCAAGTTGCAAGATTGAGAAATACTATACTACAGCAATGGCTTTTTGCTTTCACCAGCTGTTGGAGGTTGATGCCTTCAACAACTACAGATGGTTAGCATGGGGAAATCCTTCCCTAACTCATGTTCACAGCAGATGTGGGTGTTCTGCTGAAAGATACTGTGTCTATATGTGCAAGGGAGATGAAAATGAAGACAACTGACAACATAAGCCACTCACTGCAGCTATACTTCCCACTTTACAGCATATTTCTAAATAGAAGCAACTAAAAATGGTAGGCAGGATGCAGCTTTGGAGCAGAACTCCCTTCTTCTCTTTCCTCCTCCTTTTTCCCCCTCTATGAATAAAAAACTGGTCCCTTCCTCTGCCAATATTTCACATGTAATCAATATTCACAGCGAGATCCCAAATCACTGCAGACAGAAAAAAGGCTCATGTTGCAAAAGCAGTCGACCAAGACAGTTCCCCCACCCACCCACCTCCTTTCCGGCTCGCCTGAATTAGCAGCAAGCAGAACAAAGACAAGAACCCCCAACTGAATTCTCTTGACATTTTATCTTGCCATCCCCAATGGGTAGCAGAAGGGATACTAAGGAGTGATGGATTCCAACATAACAGAAGATGCCCAATTGATAGTTTCAGAGAAATTTCAATCCCTGTGTCTTTTCCTGGCTGGAAACGATCACACAAAGTCCTTCTATTTAATACCTGTTTCCTAAAATGAGTTTTGGGGGAAAGGCAGGGGGGCAAGAATAGATGAGCAGCCACTGGAGGGTAGAAACTGCCAACACTCAAGCTTTCTAAAGGCTAGGCAGTCCTGCTCAAAGTGTGGAAATATATTCTTTA